TGATAAACAATTTACAAAAAGGATATATGCATGAAAGGAAATGAATATACAAAGTATAATATATCATGCATATAAACAAGAAAGAATATACTCACAATATTTCTACCCATTTGACAACATCAAAAAGAGGACAAAAGGATGAAGAGAGCGAAAGCTCCTCCTATCAATATGCATGGGTGAGTATAATACATAGAAAGATATAGGGATTGCTGCCCTTATCAAAATGCCATAAAGAATATATGAAATGAATGCTAAGGCATACATATGGGAGAAAGCATAGATTAAAAAATGCTAAAAATAACTCACATACAAAAAGATAATGAGAACGCATATAAATATGTTAATATGAAAGAAGTGTCTCATTACACAATTTAAAAACATAGTGTATAAAAATAGATTTATGAAATCAAAAGATAGAACACGAGAATCACGCAAAAAGTTTTCCAATGAAAACAAATCAACCAAATGAAATCATAAATCAAGATTTGAGTCCAAAAACAATGTTTGGTCAAAGAAGAAAATTTTCTTTGTATAACTTGATCAAACCACTCATAGAATACATTATAAGGATCCATAAGCACAAACACATAAATATCATCATATAAGTGAATTATAATGAATTCAAAAGCAATCAATCAAAACAAAAATCTTTAACAAAAGAATTTTTAAGAGAGGCAACAATATATTAAGCTATTAAGCTTGTTCCAACCCATATAATCATTCTAGCATCCGGTAAATATGATTTGGGAATAAACACCCAATAAATACGGGGGGTTATATAAACATAAACCTCTCATCAAAACAAAATCAATAACCATGAAAACAAAAGAATTTGACAAAAAAAATTATTTTCATGTTCAAAAGTTTAAAGTATAATTTTTCAAAACCAAGAAAAAGAAAAAGAAAAACACTAAAATTCTTGGTAAAAAAAAATTTAAATTTGTTTTGGTACCCAAGAACTCTTGGTACCAAAAGATTTAGGGATATGACCCCTATCATTCAATCTCAAAGCCCTAGGGTTATGAACCCATCTGGGCGTATTTAGTGCACGGGTCTGATCATAGCAATAATTATGCAAATGACCCATTCGATTGCAATAAGTGCAATGAAGAGGATGCATTTGGTTATGTTGACCATGTGGATGTGCACGAGGAACATTTGCAAATAAAGATGGTCTTTTAAGATTATTTTACAAATGAGAAACATTTTGAAATAATATTGGTCTACTTGAAATATTTTGCGATTTAGAAACTTTTCGCAAATCAAAACAAAACTTAGCGAAGTGACCAACTCTACAACAAAAATCACAATGATACACATTAGCATGCTTATGATGAACAATGGGTGCATGTGTGTGTACATGTGATGAAGAGACTTGATGAGATGCACAAGGAGCATTGACATTTTTATATTTGTGTGCATCATAGCAAAATTTAGCTAAATGGCCTTTACAACCACAAATTGAGCACTTGTAAACTTTGCTATACAAGTGTGCATGGTGTGTAGGTGATTTATAAGTTATAGCACTAGATTTAGCACACTTGTCCATAAGTTTCTTATGATTATCAATGCATGTTTTTAAAGTTGAATCTAAGCATGATATGCGTTCCTTAACAAGATTCAAATCATCATTATGCACAACATCATTGATAATAGAAGTAGAGCATATATGGTTATCAAATTCATTTCTAATAGCTACTACTTCTAGTATGGCATTATCTCTTTCATGAGTTAAAGATGAAGACATGTTATTATTTTCCAAACTTAATAACTCATTGTTTTCTTTCAAAATAGCATTCTCTTTAACAACAATATCAAGTTTGGAAGCTAGCGACTCATGATTGGATTTCAAATCTACATGCTTGCTTTTTAGATCTATAAAATTATTTTGCAATTTGTTATAGGCATGAGATAATCTTTCATATGCACAAGCGAGTTCATCAATAGATAAATTATTATCGGAATCGGAATCGCTTACTACACAAGAGTTATCCACCTGTGGCCGTGTGCATGATGCTCCACATGAACTTGAAGAAGAATCCTCCAAAGCTTGTCGGATTGCCTCCAAGTCCCCTTGATGTGCTTCAATAAATTTCCAAAGTTTGTAAGCACTATCAAAATGAACAAATTTGTTAGAAAGGGATGAGTCAAAAGCATTACACAAAAATTCTAACAAAAGCTTGTTCATTGTAAACATTTTATTATCATGATTACTCCACTTGGATTTCGCCAATATGGGCATAATATAAGCACAATCAATAACTTCCCATAAGTTGATATTTCTAGATTGCACAAATAGTTTAAATCTAGAAGCCCATTGTGCGTAGGAAAAATTAATAAAATTAGGAGCAACATTTGATTCATAGCCTAAACGAAATACATTTATATTCATGATATATATGTGAATATATGCAAGAAAGACAAATGCAATCATAACTAGATTAGCACAAAAAATATAACTTGGATCTTTAACTCAAGGCGATTAGTCCTTAAATCAAAGAGCACCAAGCTCTGATACCAATTGTTAGACCCTAGAGGGGGGGTGATTAGGGTCTTATGCTAATCTAATCCTAATTAATTACCAATTAAAAATTATGTAGATCAATTTATTCTTGCAAGAGATAGATATAAATAAGAACAATAAGAATAAGCACTAATAAGAATATACGCTAAGCAAAACACAAACACACGATATGTTTACGAGGTTCGGTCATCACGACCTACGTCCCCGCTCCTCACCTCGAGGAGATATCCACTATCACAATCCGGTTTGGAAGCCGGAACTTCTACACACTCGGTTTACAAGATCACCGAAAACTCTCACACTACACAAACACTATGTAATCACACTTTACACACTAAGTATTGGAACCTACCTCGTGTCCTCCTCCTCAAGTGCTTGGTTAATACCTCTCCCTAGGTTCGTCAACCGACGTTACTCCTATTGGATTCGACCCCGTCTCTCGCCTCACACTTCTCTCGGTGTACAAGTGTATTACAAGTGACTCTCACAAATAAAAATTAAATACAATTATTTGTTCTCAAATAACAAGTGAGAACATAATGAAGCTAACACTAACTAAATCACACCCCACAACCTACACTATATGGTATGAATATATTAAGCTCAATAAGTGTGTGTGATAACAGTGAATGAAACTTAATAAATATAGCTAAATAAAATGAAAATGAAATAACAAGCTATATAAGAGTTTAGAAGACTTCTCAAATAAGAAGAACAGTAGATGATGATCCCAATAGGATTTGAAGGCCACTTCTTATTGTAGAAAAACTTTTCTTGAAAACATATTGATGAAATCAACTTTAAACAGCTCTTAAACACAGTTAAGATTTTGTTAAACACAAAACTTGGATTTTTTGGATATATAGAAGGAGAGCAACAATGGGGTATTTATAGCACCCCAATACATCAGCAAAAACATAAGTAAAAGACCAAAAAACTAATTTAAAAACAGCTGTAAAAACTAGCTGTTGGAAGTGAACTGACAGTTCGGCGGTCGACCGGTGCGGTCGACCGCGAAAAAAAAAAAAATCTTTAAGTGAACCGGTTCAAGTTTTCTTGGATTAGTTGGTGTCTAAGGAAAGGTTTAAGGGTTGCGTAAAGCGCTCTACAAGAAACAAGGTACTTAATAGATCTTTGTTCAACCTCTAGTACTATCCTTACCTGGCCAAACTACCCGAGTAAAACTTTTATCTTTTCACTTTAAGAGTTTTTTGATTTAAAGCAGGTTTAATTAAGTTTCTGGTCTAGTAATATTGACAAAATTCTTTTTCAATCAGATTACATCTACCTAGACTAGTAAACTCAAATTGGACTTATGGCAATCCCATTTATAAAACTCATCTGTTTTGTAAAAACATGCACGAACATGCACGAACGAAGAACATGATTTTGTAAATTCAATTAAACATAACAAATCAATTTTAAACTTGATGAAACTTTGGGAAATGTTTGCAAATGTGATTTTGAACATGTTACAAAAAAGAATTTCTCAAATTGAAATTTTCATTTGTGAAAACTCATGTATTCTATAAAACTTATAAATACATGTGTACATAAACAACTTTACCATATGAAACAAAACATGTATATATATATATGAATATGTATTTGTTTCATATTTAAACTTAAAAGCCAAGAACCAAAACTTGTGTATATATATAACTATATATATAAAAACAAAATATGTGTGTGCATATATGATTGAGCTTAAAGTACTAACACACATAATATAAAACCTAAACTAAATATACCCAAGATTGATTGATCTTCGATGTAGCACAACTTGGTACACTTGCGGATGAAGCTTGAACTTGATATTTAACTTTGAATTGCAAGGCTTCACTCCACTATCTGCCAACCTCCATTGGATATGATCGTTGAAGCTCTATTTCATCCATCCTCCAACTCGTTGTTTGCCTAGAATAAATATGAAAATACAAATACTAGACAAACAACATTAGAAGTAAATTGTTTGTTAAATATCATCAAAACAAGAACGCCAACAATATGTGTATTTGTATCCGTATCCGAATTCATATCTAAATCTATAGCCAAGAAATATCCAAACCATATTCAAAATTTGAACCAATATCCGTATAAGAAACTATATCCAACCAAAAATCCGAAACCATATCCATATCTGACTAATTTCAAGTTTTGGCTATTGTAATCACATCCAGTTTGGATACGATTATGGAACAGATCGGATATATGCAGACTGTTTTGCACCCCTAAGTGCATACCTACGCACCACATACTTTATACTACCGCCTAATCGAACGCTTACTGTACTAAGCTCAGCTTCAACCATGAAACAAAGCAAACAACAGATTGACCAATCTTCATCAATCTAATAACTTGGAGAGAAATTTTGATCAATCAATTTAAACTGATTTTATTTTGTTGTGACACGGCGCCGTTCTTAGCTAAACTGATCATTTAGACCAAAAGTTATTTAAGGAGGATCTGCCAAACTGATCCTTGCTCTACTAAACTCTACTGAACAATGAAAATATAAAGCAAGTAACAACTTTATCAATCTTCATCAATCTAAGAACTGAGAGAAAATATGATCGATTCATAAACTGATCTTATTTTATTCCAGCTCTCCCTCGGTCCCGAACTACACCGGTTCATGCCAAATTGACCCTTACTCCACTAAACTCTACTTCATCATGAGAAGATACTAGATTAATCTTCATCATCAAGAGCTGAAGAACTCGAAGCTATCGCGATTGCCATCTCCTTCATTTTCAACTTCGAACAACCACTTTCTTTGAGAAAGAATCCTTCATCATCAGCAACCTCCACGTCAGCAACATCTCCATCATCTTCTTCTTCCTCTTCCACTGATGGTGATGTTGTTGTAGGCAAGAGCACCGACAGAGGGCTGAAGACGTCTTCGCTCGGTCTCGAGTGAGAGTGGCGTCGGATTGGCAATTGATGGTTGTGCTCACCGGCATAGGCGATGGTGAGTGTTTGGGGATCGTCGGAGTTGCGCTCAATTCGTCTCTTTGCTTGGCAATTAGTTTTCTTGGTGTCATTATTGCTGCACTTGTAGTATTCCCTATGGCCCCGTTTGGCAAAGGGTTAATGAAGAGGGGTTAAAGAGAAGGATTAATGTACTTAGCCTATTTGATAATCCGAAGGACTAAATTATTAACTCGTTAAATAAGTTTTATTTTAGCCCTTATGATCAGTTTTAGTGTTTGAGAATAACAATGATTTTGACTATTTTCTTTATAATTAGAAGGGTTAACTCTTATTCCATCTAAATAGGAGTATTAGTAAACCCCTCATTTTGAGGGGTTAACTCATTTTAACCCCTCTAGAGGGGTTAACTTAACCCTTCTATATTTTTTATATTTGACAAATTATGGAGGGTTAACTCACTTTAACCCTTATATAGATTTGTTGTGTTTGGCAGGTTAAGAAGGGGTTAAGTCTCCTTAACCCCTCACTTAACCCTTTGTCAAACGGTACCTATAGTTTTTATAAAATGAGTCCACCTAGATTTTTCTAAAGGTTATTTACATCTTAGTCCCACAAATCTTCAATAATTCTGTAGTATTCTTTCAAATTCTTGAAAATTGCTCATAAGTCTGCCGAATGTCAAGGGTCTTACAATTTGGTCGCTCTATAATTAACCAAAATACCTCTTAGCTAACCTTTTTCCCCCATAACAATGAGGGGTTTTTGAGGAACATAAAGTGAGGGGGTATTGATCATTTAGTCATCAAATTGCAAGAACCCTTGAGATTTAAAGGCCTAATGAGCAATTTCAAAGATTTGAAATTGAAATACATGTATGGACAACTTGAGGGACTAATATATAAATAACCCTATAACTAAAGAAGAAAAATAAGCATAACTTTAAAGTTAAATTTTCTAGGGTTAATTGCAGATAGACCTCGCTAGTATGGTTGTATTTAACAAACTATCACTTAATTTAATTTTATTTTCTGAAGATAAAATCCCTAGGTAAAATTTTTGAGACTATAATTTTCCCGTAGAGAAAGAGAGTGATTGCTTTTTTTTTACAATAGGCCTAAAAAGAGTAAAAGAATCACTATAGATTCTATCTAGCAAAATAAAAGTAGAGAGATAGTAACTTCATAACAACATAACATATGGGTCTATCTGCAATTAACCTCGCATATATTTACCGATGAATGTTGGCCGAGTGCTTAATTTTTTTCTCTCCATATTTACGCCAAGCCCAAAAATCTCCAAAGATGATGTTCTTGTCCAAACACACTTTCTTTACTTCCCATTTCAACCCACCATTCCTAATCTTCGGTTTCTCCCTAAACCGCAATGAGATCATAGTTAATATTTTATAATCTATGAAAAATCAACCCAAACTTTAAAATTATCAATATCAAAGTGACATCATAAATAACTATAGTAATAAATCAAATTAAAATAAGAATATATTATTTACCTTCTTTTGACTTTAGCCGTCATTCTTGGATTTTTGATTCTCTCCTCTTTTTTCATTGGAAATAGAGGCTGATGGAGCGGAGGAAGAAAAGAACATGAACTCGATGTCAATGGTGACATTTTCTCGTCCATTGATATGAAGGACTGATGAGGAGAAAGAGGAAGAAGATTAGAAAATGGATCAAATGAGTTTGATTCCATTGACATCATTACCTCCTTGTTTCTCATTGGAGGCAAAGGAGGAGGAGAGAGATGAAGAAGATTGGAAAATGAATCAAATGAGTTTGATTCCATTGACATCAATGCCTCCTTGTTTCTCATTGGAGGCAGAGGAGGAGGATGAGGAGGAGGAGAAAGAGGAAGAAGATTAGAAAATAGATCAAATGGATTTGATATCGCTGGCAACATTATCTCTTCCATTCTCAATGAAGGCAAAGGAGGAGGAGAAAGAGGAAGAAGATTAGATGAAGGATCAAATGGATTTGCTATCACTGGCAACATTCTCCCCTCTATTCTTATTGGAGGAGAAGTAAGAGGAGGAGAAAGAAGTGAAAATGAATTTGATACCATTGGCAACATTGACTCTTCTAATATTGATGAAGGTATAGGACGAGGAGAAAGAGGAGGACGATGAGAAAATGAATCAAAAGTTGTCACTAGAGCTTTCCCTTTCATTAGGGAACAACTCTGCACGATCGACATAAGATCACCATCATCCCACTCCATCAATAGAAAAGAGGAAGAAGAGATTGAGAAAGAAGAAATGGAGATTGGGTGAAGAAGAGGGAGGAGATGTTATTTTATAGAGAAAAGATCAAGAAGGAAGTGGAAAGTAGCACAATTATGGAAATTATTTAAATGTAAGATATTCAAAACCATTCTGGTTTTTAAAACTAGGAACTGGTTTCAAGAAGTTAACGATGTTAGCAACAATTTTGAAAAGACTAACGAGTCTCTTTCTATGTACATAAAACTTGAATTTATTAAAATTTTATGTTCTTATTATTAGGGTTAATTTTGTCTAAAATTTATCATGTGTAAGTCATGGCTTCATGTAACGGAGATAACAAATGAGTGGTTTACTGTTAAAAAATTTATGATAAAATTTTTAAATAAAAATACTTCATAGTGGTTTTCTAAAAGATTAATACAAGTTCATAGTACTGAATTTTTAAAAATATTTATATTTTCCTATTTTGGAAATAACTCATGCATGATAGGCACCTAGAGTAACATCTCATGAGAACATTACTCTATCTCAATCATCACCACATCATCAATATTAATTCAAGATAACGGTTCGTCCTCTTATTAGGAATCTCGCATGTGAGCCAGATTCTACAACATAAAAATAAAATGTCTAAGGACCCATTTGGTGCATCAAATTTTTTTTGGATTTGAGTTGAGATTGCAATTCATGGATAAAATGTGATATTTTTTACAAAATAAGATTCCAAAAACTTAGTATGTTTCAAAAAAAAATTTCTAGGATAAGATATCCATAAAACCCCAAAAGCATGAAATTTTTGGGATTTGGGTGGATATCTGACAAAAAGCTCCACCTCAGCTCCTTATGTCTCCCTCGTGACCTCCTTAATATTATCATCATCTCCTTCCCCCATTTCATTTCCCTCGTTGTAATAACCGTAAAATTTTGATACTAGTTAAAATAAATTTTTGGTATTTTAAAATATTATTTTTAAAAGAGTATTGTATTTTCTTGATTTTCTAGAATTTTCTATGATTTAAAGTCTAAGTTTTATATATATTTAAATGATTTGAATATTTATAAATTTATCTAGGACAGTAAATATTTTTAGAATTTATCCGTTGTGTTACCGATAGTATTACGTATCATTTTGAATAATATGTGGTATTATTATTATTACGTATATTTTTGTATAATACGTTGTATTATTAATTATGTATTATTTGTATAATTTCTTGTACTATTTCTACTATTGTATATTATTGGTCGTATTAGTACAACTGGTACGTTTTACTGTATATATATAATTATCACATAATTATATAATTTTAAATATAAGTAAATATATTTTATTATTAATTATTTCCGTTTAATTGTACAATATGGGTATATTTCGACAGTTTCGTATCAACTGTTGTATTAGCTCAACATGTACGTTTTTATTTGTAGATAATTTTTAGGTACCCTAAATTATTTATTTTAATTATTTTCGTTTAAATATCTGAACCCATTTGAAAATAACCCCAGCTTTTGCTTCCCGCGTCAAACCCCCATCAGCTACCCCCACAACCCCGTTCTCTCCCTCCTCTTCTTTTCCAAAAAAACGGCTCCACGCGCATCTCATTCAGTATTTTATTTTATTTTTTTCATTTATTATTATTATTTTTCTATTTAAAGCCAGCTCTCACTCCCTCTCTCTCTCGTACTCACTCTCTCATTCTCTCTCATTCTCTCTCTCTCTCTCTCTCTCTCTCTCTCTTCTCTCTCTCTCTCTCTCTCTCTCTCTCGAGCTCGAGCTCGAGCTCTGCCAGTTCCGTCGGCCTCCCCCCAGCTCGAGGCCGCCGCGCGTCGACCTCTCCCCTCGACCACCGCTCCGGCCACCGCAGCGTTGTCCTCTTCTGCCGCCTCGCCACCACAGCCTGCAGCTCCTCGTCGACCTCCCCTGTTCTAAGATCGACCGCCTCCAGCAGCGCTGACCTCGCCCGCCCGTCCATCTGCTCGACGCCGGCCTGCTCCGCACACCGCCGCCAGTCCCCGCGCGCCCTCCAAGCTGCTCAGCCTCGCCGCTCCTCCCCTCCTCCAGCACCGCCCTCTCTCGTTTCCTTCCTTCCGGCGCTGTCCCCACCCGCCTGCTCGGACCTCCGCCTCCGCAGACCGCGAGCAGCCCACGCCGACAGCCCTTCCTCCTGACGCCACGTCCTCCTCCGCGTGCCACTCCGACGCACCTCCCTACACACCGCGTGTCCCCATCGACAACCGCAGCGACCACGCTCTCGCCGTCGCCGAGCACCGCCAGTCCACCCCGCGTTGTCGCCACGCCAAGTCAGCAGCCCGTTGTTCCTACGCTCGTCCGATCAGACCTACGGGCTCGCCCGTCGACGTCGAATCGTTCAACGAACCAAGGCAAGATCCCGATACTCTTTTGACTTATCATTCTATTCTTAGATCCGCTCTGAATTAATCAGTTGCTTGCAAGATCCCTATTCTTGCTCAGTATAATTTTAGATTGATTACAGATTAATTATGCATACGAACTCGTTACCCGAATAATTATTCGTTACAAATACGGAACTGTCGTGAACATATTGGACTGAGAACTATAACGTGTAGAACTGTCATGGACGTAACGGACTGTGGACAATAACGTATGACCATTCACATTGTAATACATATACTGTGATGATCTGTACGGATTTATTTGACGATTGATACTAAAAATAATATTTTGAATATAGATACTGTAAAGATAAAATATGATAATATTATTTTAGATTAATTTATGATTTTTAAAGGATTTATTTGACAAAATAATCATTTTAAAATAATTATAATAAATTATTTTGGTGAAAAAAATTCATTTTAGAGTAATTATAATAAATTAATAGAATTTATTTGACAAAAGAATTATTTTAGAATAAATATAAATAATTTAAAAGAAATTATTTTAGATTTAGAATAATTTCAATAATATAAGGAAGTTTTATAAAAGGAATTATTTTAGGACATTTATAAATATTTTTAAAAAGATTTATTTTAGAAAAAGGGGAATTATTTTAGGACATTTATAAATATTTTTAAAAAGATTTATTTTAGAAAAAGGATTATTATGAATTTTTCATGATTTATGTTTCTTAATTTTAATTATGTGATATGTTATGATCTTGTTGTATATAATTAGTTGCATTTATTACTCTTTGTTATGAACCGTTAGAAATTCATGACTAGTGTGGCCTGGTGTGTCCGGTTTAAGACTTAGAAACCTGTGTATATGTTAGCTTAGAAAAACAAGAGAGTTGGGATGGGGAAGTTAATGTTCATGTGATCGGATAAGACTGTTGATGTATCTTCCAGGCTCGCTCTCGTGGTTGGTGTCGCCACCGGGGTTGGTTTGTAGGGCTAAAGTGAAGTGTGTACATCACTGTGGTCAGTGGGAAATTTATTTCGTCACCTGAGTTCTGTTTGAAGTTCGGACCAGGCAGAAACGGATTGCGTGCAGTCCTCTAGGCCGCATGTCAGAAACGGATTGCGTGCAGTCCTCTAGGCCGCATGTGTAGCGGGATTGGATGCACATAGAGGATTTGTCAATAGTCAGTTATCCGGTGATATGAGCGTTGACTCTGTGTGAGATGTGAACCAGTGACCTGTTATAGGATGGCTAGTTACATGACTTTTTACCAGTGGATCGGTGTCGCCACTGTGGTTGATTTGTTGGGTCAAGGTTAATCGGTGTCGTCACTTTGGTTAGGATTTATGGATACATGTGAGGTGCGGACCAGTTATATTTCTTTTCATACATAGATTGGGGTTAATATTTAATTATCTACAATTTAAGACATATGGTATATACATGAGTGTTTCCTTGTTTGGATTATTTCGCTCGACGTACTACGTCTCGAGTTGTAGATTTTTAAGTATTAATTCCATCTAGTGTATAACTCTGTACTTGGATAATTATTCTGATCACTAGCTGCATGATCGACTTGTTACTTGGTTGATTCCCTTGGATTTATTATGATTATTCTATTCTAGTAGTAAATTATATTTAGATTATTAGTATTTCAGTTGCATGTTTCCATTGTTATTACCATCATTTGCATTGGTCGCACGACCGTTCTATTCTTCCTTTCGGGATCTTGCCGTGCGCCATGCACCTGACGTACACCTGTATTCTCTGGTGTACGTCAGACTTAGAAGAAGAACAGGTTCAGCTTGGAGATGCGCCAGAGCCGAGTATTCTCAGCAGGAGTGTCTTGTAGACGAAGCAGAAGAAGAGTTGAAGCTCAGTTATTCCTTTCAGTTTATTTTCGTAGCATTTCCTTTTCCGCCTGATCATTGTATTTTATATTCTCCAGTATTTCATTCAGATAGTTTGTATAAGGGCATGTTTGGCCCGAATATATTCATTATGATATGTATTATTTTATTCTGTGTTGTTCATTATATTCTTGCTATCTGTGATCGGGGACCTGTGCCTTTGCATTGTTTTATTTCCAGACGCATAGCGTATTAGATTGAGAAGACGGGGTCTCGCACTTATCTCTTCTCAGTTTAATACGTTGCGGGCTTGCTCGCGTCCCGATTCCCTGGTATTTTAGGAAGCGGGGCGTGACAGGTTTTAGTGGTGGCCCATGCAGGTCAAGGTCCCGGTCACGATTCCGATTTCCTACCAGTGAGAATGTAATGAATAATTTAGACGCATATCATATTTCATCCGTAAGACTATACTTAGCCCTTATCCTAGTATCTTGACCAATCTTGTATTAGTCCCTATCTTATCACTCTTTGATTCTAGAGTTTTCCAAGGTTCCCTTCCCATCGCTTCGTGATCACCCTCTCTTTGTATAACTCCTCTATCCCCGTGTCGGTCGTTATTATATGTGTTATTAATTTTATAACTATATTTTCTTTGATTTGACTTAAATATCGTTTGATTGTATTGATTTCTGTATTATTTATTATATTATTTTATGTATCATACACACAATTGTTCAAATCATATCATTAAGTGTTTTACATTACTCTAGACTCCACATGTACATTGCATAG